CTATGCTTTGAAACGAATGCCTACTTAGTTAAGGAAATGCATTTTAGATGTAGACTTCAATTGCATATGTTGCAGTATTTCAATCATATCTTTCACTATAGATATCCAATTGATATGGTTCTTGAACCATTGGAAAGATAAGAGGCCAATATACAACTTTTATTTACCACTTTGCCTAGTTGATCCTAGAATATGGTTAAAAATTATATTCATTTAGAAGTAGTGTAGCATAGTCTAAATGAGCAATATAAATCTTTGAACGCCATGGCCACCATGGGACCAGTACCGTGGTGCCCTGATTGAGAAAGACACCTCAAAGCACATATGATCCTTGGTGTCATAGCCACCAAGTATTCAGCATCGAGGTGTCCAATGGAAGACTTTGAAAAGAATATTAGAAGTGCTCAATGTCATGGCACCCAAGCAAGGAAGGCCACGACACCTAGTGAAGAAAGAAGAATGTTTGAGTTGCTTGACTTCTATTTGGCCTTTAACACAAGCTCTATTTAATTCCCCTTTGTGAAGCATGAAAAAGAATGAATTAAGCTAGGTTTTTCTAAAGATAAAAAAAGCATTGAAGCTAGCAAGGAAGCAACGAAAGCAAGGAAGATTGTGGATCAAAGATTTGAAAATATTAGAGTTCTTTCTTTTCTTGTTATCTTTATACTTTCTTGTTTAGTTTTGATGTTTAAATTTCTTTTTTGGATGATGTTTACATACATTATGTTAAACTAAGTTTTTAATCTAGAATTGCAATTAAACCCAATGCATAGTTTTATTTTTTAATATTCTTTCTTTTTTATGATTAATAGTGTTGGAGTTGTTTATTTCAATCCTACTCTTAATGTGTCTAATTGAGCAGCCACCAATTAGATTGATTTAAAAACCTAAATGGAACTAGAAGAGGGAATTTAGAGTAAGCCCATGGGCGAAATAGCATATATTCAATACAATTGCATGAGATGATTAATTTGATTCACGTGTAGGAATACACTTACATTCATATGTAGCCATAATTAGAATCTAAATTTAATTAGTCTTTCTTCGTTTTGATTTGCATAAGACTATAGTAGAATTGGTCAAGGAAGATATTTTTATAAAAATATTGAAAGAGACTAATAAATAAATTAAAACTCTAAGTTAACAACTCAAGCCTATCAAGTGAGTAAAGAGAGAATAGAAGAAATTTAGATAAAACATTGAGGGGATATTGTGGTTCTAAACTTTTGATTAATTGATTCTAGTTACCTTTGCTTTAGTTCTTGTTTCTAGTTAGAGTTTAATTTTAGTTTTATTTCATTTTCAGTATCTTTAATTTTGATTATTTGAATAAGATTAGGTTGTGAAAATTTTAGTACTTGGCAAGAATAGTAGTAGATTGGGAACAATTCTCTGTGGGGACAACCTTTACGTTTATTATATTACTTGTTTACGAAATGTGCACTTCCCTGTTTTATTTGACAAACACTTTCAAGCTCACCAAGGTAAAGTTGCTTTAACTTTAGCTATTAGTAATTTGAATCCTTTAGTTAAAGTTAGACTAGTTACTGATTTTGGGATTTTAAGTTGCCAAAAAATATTTATGGAAAAATTAGATGATTATTAGTCTAAGATTATGTTATAGAGCCACATACTAATGATGGAAAACTTCATAGGTGTTGTGGAGAAAGTTTGAACTTTTGCAAGGCCAAGTGTTTGACGAAAGTCCCTAGAGAGCAAGGCATGCTTCTTTGACGTGGGTAAATACGGCGTTTTTAATTATTTTAGTATAATTAACCATGTCCATTCTATGACCTTGTATATGATTGAATTTCAATAAGTTTGTGCTGCGAACAAAGGTTTACAAGTATGTTTTGATAAAAACTATAGACTAAGTATATATAGAGTCTATTATGTATTAGTTTTGAGCATTGGGAACAAGCCTTTCAAAGCTTTGACATCTCAAACATCTCATTTGTCTATGATCGATGTATGATTGATGGTTTTGAATGTGATGTGAGAAATGATTGCTCCTTGATGAGACCATGGAATTTATGGTCATTTATTTTGAGATTATTGATATGGTTTATTGACTCCATCTTTAGTGATGTCTCAATCTCTACTATATGTTGGTGATGGGTTTCACCTTTTGATTCTATGTATATTTTGAGCATTAGATAGTTGTAATATAGTTGTTGAAGTCTTCAGGATAAGGACCTGTAGCAAATGACAGTAACATTAGCCATTGTGCAAAATAATTTACAGCTTGAGCCAAAGAGGTAATTTCCTGAGACTTGCTAGGTATTGGTAGTTAACAGAGTTCTACCCTTTTCTTTATGGTCGGTGACTATCTGTATTGGACTTTTCTAGTGTGACAACATTAGGTGATTATTTTATTCTTAGCTAGTGCTCCTCGATTTGTTTGACTTGATGTCTAATGTGATGAATTTGCATCGTGGATAAGGTTTATCTAATGTTTGAATATTGATTACTTGACTATGGATGAATATTAGTCTTAGTTGATGTCCTAGAGATGAGTTCCAAGCTAAATGTACATTTTGTATCAAATATATTGATACATTGCATCCATGTATTGATAGATTCAACACAAAATTGATGCATTTGCATTCTTCTTCAAATCTATCGATACATGGGACTAATGTATCAATAGATCAGGCTTATTGTGAAACTTGAACGTTTTCAAAAGGTTTTCTAACAAGGAAAATGAATTTGTTTTAAATCTAAGTTCGTGAAAACCTCGGTTTATGTTCCAAACACTCTTAAACTGATTGTTTAACTAAATTTTAATAAAACTTCTTGAATTCGTTTCCAAACATTTAGTGTTATTTTAAATGCTTATGAACTATTTTACAAACTATGTTTTATAAACCATTTTGTTATCCTTGTATCATTTGAATGATAACAATCTTGGAGGTTATATGGACATATGTTCCTTGCTTTGTTTGAAAGACAATGGACTTGGAGACCATGTGAATATTTGACACGCTTGATAAAGTGGGATTGTCACATGATGACGCTTGGCAAAGCAAGGCTCGATTTAAAATTATGCTTGAAAAGATAGGTGTTTGTTTATGGTTATGCCTGGAAAGGTAGGTTTTACAAAACATTTGATAAATGTTTATTTGCATATTTTTAAAAGTGTATTTGTTAAATATTCTTCCTCATTAGCTTGTTCCCCCTCCTCACATCTACTCAAGAAGTTATTTATAACTCACACATGTAAGATTTTATATTAGTAGATTTCTTGGCTTGTATTTTGAAAAGGAGCTACTTTTACAATCAATGTTGATAGGCAATTGTTATGGCATCCAGTAGGTGTCAGCCTTTTTACTTGTGTCGTAATTCACTAGGTTTGGTTTGGTCTGGTTCAGTCTTTCATACTTGACTGATGGATTTTTGACTGATTATAATATGTAATAATTGATATTATGGATGATTACCATGAGCATGGCTTATACTTGGGTTATTATGTATGTTTCTTCCACATTATGAGCATGCTCAAGTGCAAGCAGATATGGTATTTTCTTATATATGATATAATCATGTTTATACTTGCTTGCATATGATTCTATGGTGATGATTTCCATGAGACACATATGTTTATTGGTTTATTGTTCATCATCAGGCTTCCATAGCTTAAGAGGGTCACTCCCATCGATACCTTTACGTCGATTATAACCCTGAATTTGGGTCATGACAATACCAAATGCCAACGATGCTCAATGGAACAATCTTAATTTAATTGTGACGAAAATCACAATCCAAGCCTAGAATCAATGGAGCTAGCATGGTTTACTTTATATATGCAAGCGACTCTTAAAGACTATTTCTTTCTATGCCCCAGAAAGCACAAACAATATGTGATCAGACAAACAATTTTTTTTTGTTTCATTGCCTACATCAATTTATTCCATATTACATCTAATTATTTTAAAACAAATCTAAGTAGCTATACTCGTACTACAGTTTCAATAAATTTTTAATTTTTCCATTTGAAAGAAAGGGATTCAAAATGCAACTCTTTGATTAAAAAATACATACATTTATCATTGAGATAAATGCTTAATTAGGTACAAGTAATAATTGTTTTTTCACAAATCATAACATACTAGATTCTATTCATATGCACACACGCACTCACGTGTAATTGCTTGAAGTAAATATGATAATAACCTTATTATGGCATAATTTTTTTTTTTAAATTCATGTGATAGTACTCCTTTCATCCAAAATTTTTTCTTCTCATTTGGCTTTCATAGAGTAAGTAAATTTTTTTAACATTAATTTTTATTTATTTATTTTAGAATAATATTCCATGAATTTTAATATTAAAAAATAATGAGAAATCGTGACAATTAAAAATATATATATATAGAAAAATAACAGTATCAGATGTTAAAGAATGTAAAGAAAAAATAGTTTTGAGACATTTGAAAGAAAGATAAACAAATAGAATAGGAGAGATCGAGGGAGTGCAGTCTTTAATAATTTTTCACTTGTTTCATATATCAAGAAAACAAGAAGTGAAGAAGAGTGAAATTGAAAATAAATTATTTTTTAGTTTGATGTAATTTATGGTTGTATGCCCAATCCCTAGTGCGACTGAAAGTGAAAAGTAACCTCATGGTGATATTTTGAAGTAAAACTTGGATACTCCAAGTCCGAACCGATCAATATCTGATTTCAATAATTTAATTTATCTGTGTTTGTTTTTCATTATAGATTAGGTAACCCTATGCATGCGCATGTTCTCCAAAAACTTTCGCTAATCGAGATTATCATTAGTGTGACTGAGGAAAATCTAACAACGTAACTCTCACAAGGCACAACATTCTCTTCTATTTAATTAAGATGCATTCAAGATCTCAAACTACTTTTCCAACCAATTCAGTGAAACAAATATGAAAACATTTTCATTACAAATAAAAGAAACCCTCACTTGTCTTTGAGAGATGAAACATAAAACTAATTGCTAAAATGGAGATATTAATTTCCTTGGGTCATCCATTATGGTTGGACTGTTGGCCCTTGCTTCTCGCTTCTTTTGCTTTTCTTTTCTCCTCTTCTTTTCTGTACTTAATGCCACAGGCATTGCACAATGTCTGCAACCAATAGCCAAAATATTGATTAATACAAAAAAGTTGGCAAGCAATTCTCAGTTCCACCACACTTCTTATTGAAGATTGATCTAATAATTAGATCGATTGACAACTTCAATATAACAAAACCTCCATTGAACAACATATATAGTAAACATCTTAATTTTACATGGCAACACCATTCATTACTATTAAAGTTGGCAAGTCATTAAAAAACCCAACATATTACTTACTAAAGAATTATAACGAAATAAAAACATTTTTATACTTTGTTGATTTATAGGATTACTTTATAACCGAGGGTTATATGATGCCAAATGATGAGAAAATGAAGAAAGAAAAACAGATAATAATAGACTCAGTTTAAGGGCTACATTTTGTAAAGAAAATTATATAGAATACCTTGGGGCCTAGGGGACCTTTGCGCCACATAGGAGTATCGTTGGTGTTGCAGTTGTAGTTACTACATCGTTTGTTAGGGTCATTGTAGTTGCCACCACGTTGACGTCGTTGGCCCCTTTTGCCCAAACCGGAGGTGGAGGAGTTTCCGACCTCACGTTGATCAGCTGTTCTCCTAGGAGGGACATCAAGCAGTGTGTAGTTGTTGGTAGGCACCGAGCCTGGAAGCAGCTGATGATGATGAGTAGGGGCAAAGTTGTTGTAGGTGTTGGTGCCATTAGCAGGAAATCCCATAGAAGGGCCACAAATTTCTTTAAAAGCATTTGCACAGTTCATGCTATGGACATTGCTAGCAATTTGATCAGATGGCCATGCAGATTGGCTGGCATTAAAGCCTTGTTGACCTTGAGCCATTGCTTCTTGATTAGCCATTTCCAATTGATTCATGCCCTGCTCAAGCATGCAAATACCGTAAAACAATATAGAATGAATGAAAATTACTTAACTAAATAGAAGATTCAAACTACAAAAGAAGAGCTTTGCTGTTGATCTCTCGTAGCATTGCAATATTTAATTTAATTAGCCAACCCCGACTGTATTTATTTGCAGTACATTTCGACTTAATTATGCTAGCTTGTCTTAGATTATTTATTAGTATCTCACTCTAATCATAATTGAGAAGAGGTTGCCAGACAATCTAATATCCACATCATACAAGAAATAGTTTCAATGAAAACTTAATGTAAATTTCAATTCTGTGTTACAGCTGCTTCTGGTAATAAAGAAAATCTCTTCTGTTTTTTTAAGTTATAAAAATAAAAAAGATAACATACGGCTAACGCCATTATTAACAAGACGACAAAACTAATCACCAACGCGGCTTCATTGCTTCACTAAGTATTCAAGACTATCTAATTAATATAATCTAATATGTATTGATTCTAACCTACAAAAGGTTGTACACATGACACTTGTATTGCGAACTTACATTTAATTATAAAGAGTATTTTAGACATTTTATTAAACGAGCCGTTAAACTTCGTTGGCATTTCCATTTTTGTAAAACAGACCTGTATATAACAGCAAGGATGACAGGAGATCACTATATATTGAAATTCTAGAAATAAGAAAGACATTCTTCTACAAATGTGTTAAGGTTTTTCATTTTTATTAATTTTTTTTAAAAAGTTTATATTTGATACACTATCAATATATAGAATTTATACATTATCACTTAATTAAAAACGTATCATCCCATAAAAGTTCAAAAAATTTTCAAATTAAATATTTTTAATATTATGAGTATTTATTTTTAAAATTTTCCAACTTTTAAATTTATTTATTAATGAAAGTGATAATATTTAGTTCATTGATAGTGTATAAAATTTAATGCTATTAATGTATCAAACATAAACCTATTTACTTTTAAACCAAAAGCTTAGTTCGAAAATTTAAACAGAGCAAAGTAAGATTTTTTTGTTTGTTATCAAAAACTGAATTAAAATTTTGTTGGAGCAAGAAGTAAGAAATTCATTTCTTGAATTTTGAAAAAAAAAATTCATTATTTCTTAATAATTTAGAATATAAAAACTAAAATAAAATTCAATCGCAATATCTGAATTAAGCCAATAATCAACAATTTCTTTCTTAACATCAATTCTCCAAATTCAATATCCAATTTACTAGTCCTACTAAAAAAAATCGAATGAACTAGATCATGTACATTACATAGTCTCTATTTTTTTATAGAAAATTCTAGTTAATTACTAGAACAAATAAAAAAACTTCATATTATTTTGAAAAAATCATTACTTGCTGGTATATAAAGATACTTGTATACGTACTCTATTTTTAAAATTAATCTGTACTAAAAACATCTTGTATCATCACACAAGTAACAAAAGGACTATTGCAGAACCAAGTTTTATCAGTGTGTGCATGTGTGTGTGTGTGTGTGTGTATATCAATGTGAAGAGTTTGAGAAAAAAATCTTAGAGAACCTGAGTGTTGGGGCCAGCATAGCTAAGATTGGCAAGATGATTAGGGGTGATGGAAGTAGGATTAGCATACTGCCCCATCTGGTAGACGAGTGGATTTTGAAGATCACAATCAGGCAATCCCAACTTGAGGGTCAGATCAACCCTATTGCTTACATTGTTGTTGTTGTTGTAGCCAGTCATTCTATCTGCCTGATTGAACCACTGATGAGAATTATCCATGGATCTCAATTTCTGAGGGAATATTGAGAGGGTTTTTCAGATGTAGAGAGCCCTGAAAACCTACGACTATCCCAAAAAATTGTCAGAAAAGAATGCCAGACAACATTGTAATAGTGACAAAAAATCCTGGTGGAAAGCAGAATATGGATGTGATTCCCTTTTATTATTATTATTTTACAAAAATATGTATAAATAAAGGTCAAGAAATGGGGCATGCATGCAATAAACAATTGAAACGGACGCAGTGAATGGATAAAACAAGGATGACCTGGAAGACTGACACACATGCAACAAATGGGCACACTTTTTATGTGATACTATTAGCAGGTAACAAATAAACATAAAACTTGACAGTTAAAAAGTAGTGATTTCAGCGTATAGCTGATCTGGGTTTCCTTGATATTTTGTAATCCTAATAATATCGATCTGATCATCATCTTCATCAAGATCACCAATGGCTCCCGTTTCATAATCTTGTCCAGGATTCCACTGAGCTCCAGATTAATAAGAGCTCAACAATGCTTATAAAATGGATATGAAAATTTATTTTTACAGGATTCCCACATATATCCGTACAGGTAAAATAAATAAATTAATCAATTATATTGTTTCACTAGTGAAATTTGTATAGAATAATAACCATAATAATATTTAAAAAAAAAACTTAATGGTTTTATTACCACTAGCTAGAAAGAGTGAGAATGATATTACAAGAGTGCAATCTCAATCTCAATTGAGAGTACATATCAAAAAGATCTAAAAGTAAAAACAATATTTATAAAAAATAATAATACCCTCAAAGCTGATTAGAAAATCGTGGGAAGAATGTGCAAAAACAAAAAAAAAAAAAAAGGAAAAAAGGGTTCTTGCAATCAAGATAAGCCATTTATCCTATAGAGAGAGTTATAAAAATGTGTGGCTTAAAAAATTATAAGTAAAATATGAGTATCTTCCATCTTTCCTTGTTTTTTTATTCATTCCTCCCTTTCAAATGCTACGCTGCGCTATTGCAGCAAAATACTGCACTATCAACAGTAACAGGAAGCACTTATAATTACAAAGGGAGAAAAGAAGATCAACTCTTAGATTTGATTATTGAGAGTGGGATAATATACCAAGTTATCAACTACGCCAACTCTTAGAAAACAAGACCAATATATATAAAACAAAGAGAGAGACTTACAATTCTAGCTATTGCTATGGATGCTATAAAGACTAGAGATGGTGTGTGATGGGAATGAGAATGAGAAACCCAATTTATAGACATTTTCTTTAGAAAAGGATCCTTTATATTTGGCAGGTGTGAAATCCAAGGAAATGCCCTTTTGAAAATATTTAAAATTTTTAGCTTTTACATCTCATATGCCAACAAATTTTGTGATCATTTGCTCTAGAAACAGTCAGTTTAAAGAGCATTGTGCAGTTACAAAATTTGGCATTACACTACTTAATACACATAGAAAAATGAAAATAAATTCACATCCAGCATCTGATTGATCATCAAATTAGTTCAAGGGTTTTTAAGCTAGCTAGAAACAAATATGATTGATGCAATTTGAAGAAAAATTATGGTTGGTGGAATGATAAATCACTAACGGATCACAATGGTTACTTCCCCACGAAGAAAATAAACTGTTCTACTATTTCCTTCCATCTTCTCTTTTTGGAATGTCTCAAGTTATTGAATTTTTAATCTTTTTACTTTTTTTACATTTTATATTCATTTTACATAATTTTTTTTACTTTCTGATATATAAAATATTAAACTCAAAATTATAAAAAAATTGAAAATTTAATTTAAGATACATCAAAATGACACTTTATTTTTAATTTTTTTTATCAAATCTAATAAAAAATGAGACAGAAAGTAAGACACTTGGAACAAGTGCTCCTCAAGAATCAAAATACTGGCTTCCATATTATAATTTTTTTTTGGCAACATTCTGTAGGATTTATTTGTCACGAGTACAATTTTGGGCAGAGACATCAGCTTTGCCTATTTTGGGTTGAGCATTTATTGATGACAACATTATACTTTAGTGAAATACATGGCAAATAATCAAAGGAAACCCCACCATTTATCTTTTGGTGTAACTTGAGATCAAATACATAATTAGTCTGCTACATTTTTTATCTTAAGCGATTGGTTATGATCATTTCTCATCTTAAACTAGATTGATCTTTTTCAAAAATGCATGCAATGCAAGTCCACTCAGATTGTGCTCAGCCGATTATCACTCTCCTATTCCTTGGCCTTTAAATTGCTCACAAACCACAAATATTGGACGACCAGCAATCACGATTTATTGCCGTTATTTCTTTCAAGATTTCACCTCTCTATGGGGTCTGTCCCTTAGACACTTGTTTACCATGGTAGTCACATAATGCCTTGCATAAACTTTCCTGTTTTATTTGGGCCCAATTGGACGGGTGAACTGGCAAACTGCAACAGTGATGAGTCAGTCCGCAAAATTGTGCTGCCCTCTCCTGGGAAGCAAGGGAGCATCCATCGATGCTCTTTATTTTTTTATTTTTTTAAAAAATAATAATAATTAATAAAATATATATAATAATAATTTTTAAAATAAATTAAAGATAAAATTATCATTTTAATTTTTTCACATTATCAAATTAATAGAAACACTAATAGTTGACTAACAGCTGAACCTATATGTATAACAAAAGATATTTTTTGAGGATGGAGTATCCATTTCGAAAACTAATAGACTTGTTTGAAATTTCAATTAAAACTTAAGTGAGTGGGGGTATTTTACTCTAAAAAGTTTCGTATAGCATGCATTAATAATGGCTCATAATTAGATAAATATTTTATTTATATATGTTCATAATACTAAAGAAGTTCTTATACTATAGCATTTTGTTCAATTTAGTCCTTTTATTCAAAAATTGATTAATTTAGTTATTATATTTTGATGTGCAATTGGGTACTTATGAATAACTTCATCCAAATTTACCTTAACAATACTAATGTAACACTGACATGTTGATATAAAAAAAATTTTTGGATAAAAAATGAAATTAGCCAAGTGACTTATCTTTTTTTTTTCTTCCTTTTTCTTTTCTTCTTCTCTTTGTCCAAAACTATGTTATTTTAGTGAGGCTGTTTGAAACATAATTAGTTTTTTTTTTCATTTATCTTTCTCCTCGTCTCTCTCTAGCTCTCCTCTCTCTCCCCTGCCCTTCTCTCCCTAAGATCGACCCCATAAACTCAGATTCCAACCACCAACCATAACTAGCATCGGTCTCTGATGGTCGAAAATTCAAAAATATAAACACCACAAAACTTTTTTTTTCCTTTTTTTCTTAATCAAGATAGTTTTTCCAAAATCTGTCTAGAATTTTTTAGATCTAAAATAGAAAACCAAGCCATGATAGTGCAAAATCAAGTGAATCTTTTTCATTATTTTTTGATTTATTTGAATCTATTTTGGGGGTTTGACTTTTTGTTTTCTTTCCAATGTGAATACTATTAGAGTAGAGAAGGAGTTTGAAAATTCTAAAAAAACTAGAACATATTTAGGGTAATTATATTATGTCACGAATCTCACATAAGTAAAAGATGAGGTAGGTTTTGGGTATATAAACATGATCCTTTCACCATTTATTAAACATGTCTTTTGGATTGGAAACATGAACCCATGACAAATGGTATCAAAACAAACTTAGATATTCACCGATATGGGACCTTCATGAGAGATACAAATGTCGAGATGGATTCAAATTAGCATAATAGTCCTTCACCTCTATGGGTAAAGACCCAAGGCAACGAGGGCCTTACACAATTGGGTAGAGTAAAATGTCATGAATCCCACATAAGGTAAGATGTGACAAATCCCACATGAGTAAGAAATGGAGTGGATCTTGGGTATATAAACATGGGCCTTCTATCACCTATCAAACATATCTTTTAGTTGAAAATGTGGGCCCATAACATGCTACACCAACCTGAAGATTTTGTGCAAATATCAAATATTATTTCCTACAAGTGAGCTTTTTTTATAGATTGTAGACAACAGATTACTCCCTTTCTCTATTTTAATGGTTCATTTTGTGCTTATTAAGAATTAAGTATTAGTTATGATTATCCAAGTTGATGATTTTTATTTAGTAGTAGTAATGTTATTATTGATATTATAATTATCATTGTAAAATTTCAGAGTTACCTATTTCTTGTGGTCCTACAACAGATTAATGCAATGTATATTTTGTCAAAGATAGATCTTGAAATGACACCATATCTATCTCTTCTCAAAACTTCCAAGAGTGATGATGTTTGAACTAGACTAAAAACTAATCAAAAGTCAAACACTCAAATCTTTATGAGTAGCAATTCAAAATGGAATGGATAATGAGATGGAGATTTTTGTGTGATGGTTTTCTTCGATGATTTTAGGAAAGAAACCAAGCATGGCAATTTTTTCCTTACTATAGTCCAAAAGTTTGAAAAGTAAAAATCTTTTCTAATTCTAGTCAAGGTGGGACATAGACATAGTGGCTATTAAGTATTTAAAGAAACATCTCTAATAAAAGGAACCAACCAGAGTCGACCTTGACGTTACATGTTCTATTATTTTTAGGGTTCTTTTCAAAAATAACCCTCATGCGTAAAGTGCTTATGAAGATAACTTTTTTCCTAATTTTAGCTGTTTTTAGCTAAAAGAAACAAATTTTGGATGAATTTGCCTTTAATGAAATCGACTCATCTGTTTAGGTCTGCTATTCAACCCTACCTATCTGTTTAGGTTAAGTTTATAACCTTTATAACACCTTAGTATTCCTTGATAGGTCATTCATCTCCTTTTAGAACATCCGCACTAGAGCATTTCTTGTCAGAGCATTCCTTGCTGGGTTAACTTTCCAACATTTTGAGCAGTGATAGAATCATTTTGGAGTTGTTTGAGCATAAAGGTAGGCATATTCTAGAACTAAGAGAAAGTTCACATTTCGTGCTTCAGTTAATTAGCATGAAATTGAAAATA